GCATTTTCTAGAGCCTCCTCTCTAGTCAGCACGTTGTTAACACGTTCGATCACAGCTTGATGCTCGTCTGACACGTAGACCACCACCATCTCGTCGGACGCGAGAGGCTGTCTCAGACCTAGCAGCAGGTGTGACTGAGTGAAAGGAAAGAGCAACTGCGGGGGCTCTTCCTGCAGTTCGTGCTTGTCTACTACAAAGCTGCTTTCCCACGCGGGGTCAAGGATGACTTCTGGTTGCAGAAAAACGTACGTGGAGAACAGAGGTTCTTGCTCAGGCTCGGTTTCACTAGCTGTTTCAGCTGTACGCGCTGTGGCGTCGTCAGGAGTGGCAATGTCATACACTTCAGGAAGGCGAACCTCAGGCTGAGGATCCTCCAACATGAGGCGTTGCCTGGTCCTACGCTGCACCTGCGCTGTAACGTCCTGAAGCGCTGGCATTGTAGGATCGTGCATGCCGCCGACATTGGGTATGTCGACAACAACTTGCCGAAGCTGATGGATAGCTTCCTGATCTTCCGCGAAAAACTGGACAAATGCAAGATCGGACTTGCCGCACAGTCTAGCAAAGTTCACATGCTGATTTCCTGCCATAAAGGCAAAGTGTCCGGCCTCGAGTTGGCCCGGGCTCCAAAACAACAGCATGCTTTCGTCACAGTTTACGCCTGGAAGACTACTGACATTACTGCCAAACCGAAAAGAAACAGTTCCTGAAAACGACAGGTTGCAGGCTGCGACATGTAAACCGGCTAACAACTCTTTAGGGTACCTACTGTTAGCTTCGAATGCGCGCCATTCACCTTTGTGCTTAAACCAACCTACTCTTACTACCATGGCACTGTGCGACTCAGCAGCATTCTGTAAGACAGCAATTGGTGACGTTAAAGGGCTACTAACCAAAAGAGCTAGGTAAACTAAAGCTCTCCTAATATCTTGCAACCTACATGCTATCACCCTACCTTGCCATCTTACAGAAATTTGCCCGTCACGCAAACTGGTGACGTCAGCTACTACGGCCGGCCCATGCCAAGCCTCGATGTCTTTCGTGCTGGCCTTGCGCCAGAACTCCACAACATCACCTGGCTCTAGCTGAAGGAGCTCGCCGGAGCGACGGGTCTTAGTTTGCTCAGCACGACGTGCTTTGGCTTCTGCGGTGGCTTGCATCATGCTTTGAAGGGCAAGGTGCCGTAAGCGGTCGGCATCACGGTCGTCAATCACATCCGGCGACTGATGACTAGCAACAGTAACTAAAGGAGGAACACGACCGTAAACAGCCTCATAAGGCGAGGCTCCACCTTGGTTAAACAGCACGTTTTTGGCAAAGGTTGCTTCGCTGAGAACAGCCGAAAAGGACGCTCTTATGCCTTCTGCTGTTGCGTTAGAGTCAAGAAGGTGAATTTGTCGGCGCAGAATTTCGTGATGTCGTTCCACCACATCTGCGTGCAATCCTTTTGCTCTTGGCTCTAACGAGACATCTCTTGCTTCAAACCATGCTGCGGCCTCAGGACCTGTGAGACCCCCTTCTTGGTCTACAACTAAACCCTTAGGTGGACCAAAGTGTTTGAACCACGACTTCTGCAAAGCCTCTAACAGCGTGTCTGTGTGTCTGTTGTCTACGAGTTCGGTGGAAGTGTACCTAGTACAAACATCTATGGTATGCAGTACTACCTTGTCCTTGACAAACAACAAGTCACACTGTATTACCTGGTTAAACCTGGTGGGCAAAGAAGAGGTGGTGACTGTACGAGGACCAGGCTTGGCCCAAGCACGACACACTTGACACGTGTCCACTATTTGCCGAGAGAGAACAATCACTTCTCGTGAAATGCCGGCGGCCTGCAACAAAGACTCCATTCGCGCGGCAGGCGCGTGGAACCAACGCAAGTGCAGACGACGAAGAGCACGTCTGACAACACCTGGCTGGCGTGAACGAAGCTCTTGCAAAGCTCTACCTACATCAAAACGTGACCATTCCTCGTCTTCGGCTTGAGGAGCTTGTGCTTCCTCCACAGCAGCTGGTACTGGTGGCTCAGGCGCTGGCGCGTCTGGACCTGCAGCCCTTGCCGCAGCACGCTCACCTGCCGCTGCGCCTCCTACACCTAGACCGCCTTCACTAACCTGTGCTTCAGCGTCACGACGTCTCGGCCCAGCTGGACCATTCACGCCACGGCTGCTCCTGTGCCGTCTTTCGGCCAGATCGTTATCGACGGCTGGAGAGTCCGCACTATCAGCTATTGGCGGCGGCTCTGGTCTGCGACCAGATGAGGACGAGGGGTTATCTCTATTAGGTGCATCACTGTCACCCAGACTACCTATTCTCACCTCTGCTGTTGGTTCACTAGAGGCTGGTACTCGCCCATCACGCGGGTGTGAGCCACGCCGTTCTCGTGACAGGTTGGGCGCTAGAGTCCGGGCAAGTGACCAACGACAAGTAGGGTCTAACACGTGCTTGGGGTCCGCACGCGGTAGTCGCTTGACACAGGCTGGACAAGTGTAGTCTACGGCTTCGTCATCAGGGAATTTGCAACCAGGTCCACGATCGTGAAGTGCATCATCGCGACGGCGATGCTGTTTGCACCCCACACATGTTACAGTGCCCACAAACGCACTGCTGCGTGTAGCGTCAACGGCGTCATCTTGAGATGCGCTGGACCGTGCACGAACAACTTCGTGAACCAGGTCTGCAATTCCTGCGGCTAGCAGACGACACATTGTCGGGGGCCACACCTGGGCCTCGCTGCTGTGCACATACTGCGCTTTATTGGCTAAGCTTGTGATTGCGGCATGCTCGTGTTCACCCCTACATTGTTTATCCCCAAACCTACTAACTAAACCTTCATGGGAACTTACAAGTACAGTGGGCTTACGGACAGGTAAGTAGGGATGTCGCGACATGCACAAGACAACACGACACTGGTCAAAGTGACACTTGACAAGTGGAAACTCACGAGCTAGTTGTTCCCAAACGGGCATTGCAAACATGTCACTGCCTAAACCCAGGGCCTCCTAAGACCCCGTGAGGAAGGTAACCAGGGCCTGGTTCCGAATCTACGTGGTCCCCAAGTACTGGTTCCAAAAAGTGTTGGTTCCAAGCTCGGGCTTGGAACCAGGTCGTGTCCAGGAGACTTTGTGCAGGTAGCACATGAGATGATTCTGCATCGAAAATGCATCGTTTAACATGCAAAAGTGCCATATTCATCGTCAAAAATCAACATCGAAGCAGAAAAGCAGCTAAGGAAGTACAGGTTTGGTGCTAAAAGCACGCTCCAGCCACGGTGCTGCGGAAATAACCGTGCTCTCAGCTACAGACCCGCGCAGCCCGCACATGTTTGGGCTGATTCCCCCCCGCTATGTGCCCGTGCCGTTGCCCTGAAATCGTGTTCTCGGCTACAGACCGTCCCTCCGCTCGTTGTGTTACGGGAGAGTCGAAAAGAAAAACACACACGGGAAAACCCTCGCTCTCTCTATATCACCCTCATCATCCTCATCATCAGCATCAGCTTGCCTGCACAGACCTATTTTCTGACATGCACACACTCATCGTCGCCATGCCATGACATTTGTGTCGTCCTCCCTAGAACTCGTCATCATCATCGTTGCATCATCGATCGGGATCATGATCATGACGACATACATCTATATGTTCATCATGTTACCACTCAACAGGCCACACCATCACACACCATTATTGTCATCACCTAGGCTCCTCTTATGCTACGGAGTACATATATATATATATATATGGCTAGATTTCCGGGTCTCTCAAGGTTTGGAGTGCAGGGTGGCCTTGTTTTGGGTGCATGGGTCAGCAAGGTTCCAGGGCACTAGAACGTTTACGGTGTAATTCAGGACATGGCTTTTGGACCCTGGCTTCGAAGGGCTAATTATTTGCAGGACATAATTATAAGGGCAAGGGTTTCGTTCGGGATCTACAGGCCTTACGAAGGTCTAGGGCTTCTGAGCGTTCACAGCTTAAAGCTCGGCTCTTCTTGTACTAGGCTTCGAGGGCATTGCAATTGACTCAGCTAGCATAGAGTGTTTGGGGTGTTGAGGTAGTCTTGAGATCCTTTGGACTCTCGCACCCTCGAGTGCATACGACAAATTAAACTTAATGGATTTAAGGGCCGAGGGTTGAGTCGATCGGTGGCCCTTTTTTGCAGTGCCGGATCGGAGCTCGAATGGTTGCCAGCCACAGCATGTACCTAGGCTTTCGATCGAAAGCACTAGACCACGTAATACCCAGGAAAACTAAACCTGAACCCAAAACCTTTAAACCTCCTTACTATATATATATATATATATATATATCCCAAACTTCGGAAACCCCCAAGCCCGCAAACCCTTGTGACTAATGGTCACTGCAAACCGGCGCAGTGGGATATAAATTAAGTTGGGATCATTCGTACTAAATCCTCTTAAAAATATAAGATTTAAAACTTTATAATTACATGAGGTATAGGTAATATAGTTTTATTCAATTTATGAATTATTTTAAGAGGATTTAGTACCAATGATCCCAACTAATGCCAAAAAATCAAAGTTGGAACAGGGTATGTTAGGAGGATATATAAGCTAGGATCCTTTCTGTACTAAGGGCATGAGGATAATGATGTTCCAACTTTGGATTTCTGGCATTCGATAATCTTACAAACCCTAAACGTCCCCTATAATCCCGAAAACCCTCCATATAAAAAGACCCACGAGGGACGACTCCAGATTCGAGTGGCAGTCGAAGTGGCACCTGGAGTTTCGCCTCGGATCGAAAGGGATCTAAAGGCCGGGCTGTGATATATAGCTAGCTAGGGTTTTATCGGGGCTTTGGGTAGCTAGGCATTATTAAGCTTGGGTATTTTGTGCGATGATATAGAGGCCCAATACGACCGTGTTTTTGTGTTACTTCATTAATTTGGCTCTGGATGTGCAAGCACCAAAAGCGATTCCAAGAATGGATTCCAGACACACTGCGAAGAGCGACTCTAGTGTCTCAGGCTTCGTTCGACATCTTCAGGCCGATCGGAAAGAAGCCTGATATAGTTGCAAAGATTTTAATTCTGAATTTTCGAATGGTGTTATTATATATAGAAGGACTGCATGAATTTCGGCCCAATCCCACCTCAAGAAATACCGCTTCAACATAGAAACCTCGAAGTTTCTAGCTGTTGCGGCCACAGCCTTCTGTGCCAGAGGCTTGAGGAGTCCGAGGACGTCCTCCTCTGCGTAGTTCTGGTAGAATCTGGGATTGTAACGTTCCCGCAGGGATAAATACAGTAGCTCATCCAGCGCGTGGAGTTTCGGTCGCAGGAAGAAACGAAGCTGCTTTCTGGAAGCGAATATCAAAGCGGCTTCTCTGTAGAAACGAAGGCATTGCTGACCTGCAGGGAGAATTATCATTTGCGATAAATATAAGTATCCGATTGCAATTTCGGGGTGCTGTTTGCCTCGACTGTAGAGCTGCTCACTCTCGCTGGCACTCAAGTACCGGCCCATACTCTCCAGATCATTCTGCACTTCGCTCATGAGGAACCTTATTAGTTCAATTGAACAGATCCTGCGACCTTTATTTTCTGGTATATAATCAACTGCAGACAAGCATCACACAGCTCGTGATGATCGTGTTCAAGTCGCAGCGATTTTGGAAGTCATGCTGTGACTCTTCGTTCCCACGCTGGCAGATCTTCTGTTGAATCTCTGGGTCGCAGAGCACAGCCTTGCGTGATGATGTGGCCAGCACGTACAGCTACAGTATATTATCCAAGTACGGCATTTCGACGTCGCAATGCAAATGCTATAATGAATGCGCAGCAAGTGGCAGCACACCAGGCAAGGACGATCCGACAATTGAACGCCTTGTATCCCAAAAATGGGTAGTCCTGCTCCTTCACGTGCAGGCACTTCATCGTGAAGACACGCCCGCTGCATGCCAGCTTGTTCTTGGATAGCCAGGATTTGAAATTCATAAACCCATGTCTTAGCTGCTCGTCCATTTCCTCAGCAGCTGGGCAAAAGATTCTGTGCTCGACCATCCAGAGCAATGCTTCCGCACAGAGAGTCTGAAAAATCCCCAATGCCAAAACATGCATCGCACAGAAGCGAATGATGCCCGGGTGGAAACCCTCACACAGCACCAGAGGGATGGGAGAATCGGGCATCGACTCCACCAAGCACTCTTCGAATGTTCGACGAGGGAAATCGGATCCAAAGAGGACGAAGCAGAGCTTGGCATGGTGCTTGGCGTTTCGGGTCGCACGGCACAGATGACAAATGTGGCGTGCCTGCCACTGTGTACGCAGCTGCCAGAAGATCTTGTGCCAGTCCCAATCTCCTTTGAATTCTGCCACTGCAAACTTGCGAGACAAAGATCCCTTGAGCTGGCTGTGTAGCTTTGGGATCTGCAAGCACGGATCCTCCGGGTTCGACTGCGGTCGCCGTCCAGCAAATGCAGCTTGCAAAGACCAGCAGGTGCGGTGCAGGATCGGTCTCAGTGTGACCTAATTGCAGATCCGGTTCCGTGGATTCGATTCGCCTGTATACGTACACATGTTAGATTTACAGACCTTGCGACAGAGAAAGTATGTGATGATCTTATCCGAGATGCAGCACCGGCACTTCGGTACGAATTCACCACGAAAAACATGTAAGTTTTCCGCCAGGGTTCTCCTGTGGACGATCCATTAAAAAAAAATAAAGGAAATATATAGACTGCAAATATTACAGCCTGGCCTTTAATCCGAAAGAGCGGGAATGTCAGCAGCAATGCGGTAAATTTGTCACCCTCACGGGTGAACTGCGCAGCATCCCCGTAAACCTCAGGGTTTGAGTAACTAGCTGTATGTAAGTCTCGAAAGTTTTTGGGCCTATAGGTTTTCAGGAAATCAAGGAATTCCCTAGATGATCGCTCTGCATTCCGACGAGCGAGCCTCGCATATTCTTGCTTCAAGGATTCGGATGTCGGGGCGATGTAAGCTTCGAACAAGGATGCACGATTTAGCGGCAGGAGTAGACCTCCGAGGATCCTAGTACATGATCATAGTCTCCATTGTACTTAATTACCGTACAGCACCCGCTAAATAGATATACCTATATATATATATATATATATGTATATAGCTATATAGTTATATATTAGAGCACGAAAAGTAAGTACAATGGAGACTATATTTAAAGTCTAACTAGCGACCCCTACGCTTAGTTCGTTATTGTTCCTCCAAGAAGCAGAAACTGGCACGTGGTCGTTGCCAGCTGGATGCCGCTTGGCCCATTCCACATCCAGCTGTCTGAAGTGCTCCCAAAAATTCCTAGGTTTAAGGGTCCAGGGTTAGGGTTTAGGGTTCGCTAGGGCGTTGGGTTTGGAGTCTTGCAATTTTAATAGTAAATTATATACGTATGATCATGAGGACGATGTTACTAATTATCAGCAAGTCACTGAATTTCCGTGTCCTCAATGTAAACCCTCTCGTTGACCCACAACCACTCCAACAGCTCGTGCGGGTCGAACATAGGCAATGAGACATCTATAAGTTCATCCGACTTTGCAGAATTGTTATCCAGCACTTTGGTGGGCACATAGCTCAAAGCCTCGGGCAAGCTCTGATTAATAATTACCTCCTAGATACGAGTTGGGGACTTATAGGTGTATTCATCTATTATATATTATACTAATATATTATTAGTATAATAGATGAATACACCTATAAGTCCCCAACTCGTATCTCAATACTTATTATAAAACGGTTACCCCCCAGGCCCTAATTGGAATGAGCTAAGCGGCAATGGGCAGTCTCACGAACCGAAAAAGATCCCTGGTGGCGTTGCCTCTTCTCCCGAACGAGGCCAGCTTCTGTGTGCTGGCATGCATGTTTTTGTAGCCCGCCTCCTTCCAGTCGAGGGCAGCTCAATGAATTTAAGAATTGCACAGGATTCCAAGCGAGGGCTCGGGTGTACATGTTGAGGACTGATTGATCAACGTTATTATGGACCTAGCGCGCTTGGAGGGTTTTCGGCTTCGAAGTGTACACGCACTTCACAGAAATGTCACACAAATCGCCATAAGGTCCTGTTCTATAATTATGTAGAGAAATCTCTCCTCTGCCGCAGCTTTGGCAGTTTTCACTGCTTTCCAAACTGAGTCATGTCCTTCACCGACTTGTCTGAGCCTTAATAACATTGGATTAGAGTTCTATTTGATCGCGATCTCGATTCTTGAGAAGTTCTTTCGAAGCCAAGACACACATGAGCAGCGAACGGCATGTTGCTCTCCATCGCCCGGCTGCCTGGAGCGACTCCAATATCAACTCCAAGTCTCGAATGAAATATATATATATATATATATACATATATATATATATGTATATTATATATTTCAGTCGAGACTTGGAGTTGATATTGGAGTAAGCCTAGCCTCACAACCTCTAAGCTTTATACTGACATCTTGTAAACCCATATCACTCGAAAGCCAGAGCCCTATGTATATAATTCCCGACCATGACCAGCCTTGCAAACCCTTCATCCTCTGGTGTCCTCTGCATTCCGAACGTTGAGGTTGTTTTGGGGATTATTTAGGGTCTGGAGCAATAGCATCCATGAGAAACATCACAGCAGCTGGCCAGCATATGCAAATTGCAATGAATCATTGCGGCAGGCCTGCCGGAGATCGCGATCTTTTCGTACCGAGCTCGAGGCCTGGCCGTGTTACTTCACGGGGTATTGGTTACTGGTTTTTTAAGTACTAGTGTACCTCGCCTTCTCGAGATGAGGAGCTCGGCATTCTAGATGCTGAAGGTTCACCAGGGTTGGAGAGAGATCGTGATCTCTTGCGTCTAGGTTCAGGTTCACGAGGGTCGGATCTAGATCGTGATCTCTTGCAACCTGGGTTCTGGAGTGCTCTAGATATGGAAATGGAAACTGTGGGATTGCAGTAGTCGCATTACAGCAGGCACAGCTGGAACACTCTGGCTTATAAGCCATGATGAGATCATGTAACCACAGCCCAGGAGCAGTCTCGAGTAAATCTAGATTCAGGGCACAGGTCGCCCAGGTCGAGGTTTAGCCGATCGCGATCGGCTAAACGGTGCATCAGGGGTCCCCGATCCTCATGATGCTTTCTGGCTTTATAAGGGTTTTAGACTTTGTAGGGTACAGGGTGTTTGCCTAGGGTTTCGGGGCTAATTAGGCTCGAAAGGGTTTGAGGTCTCAGGGCTAATTCAGTTTCTAGGGGTCGCATGGGGTCCTGCCGTTGCATGGGTTCGTCAATGCTAGGTAGCTATAGGGCAAGGTTGTATATAGCGGCGATATGTTTCATGAGGATCCGGATCATTTGTTTGAAGGGCAGTGCAACCGAGTACCAGAACAGGAGTGGAACAGGTGTATGAATAATAATCAGACCATATTACCTTTTAAACGCTGTATTTGATTATTACCCCATATAAACCTGCTTCTTCAAGCTTGGTGACGGCTCGATGTCCGTGTAGAAACATCTGCAACAGCTTTGTCGTCAGCGGAACCTGCGTAGGAATGGGTTTAGGGTTTATACGTTTGTATGGGTTATATGATATAGATCAGATGCTGTACGATACTGCTGAGTGACAGTCTTTCAATGCTACAGCATGCAGGTTGGGTGCACGATCACGATCGATCTGGATTTTCCCGTCGAGGCAGCGCCGCTTCGATCAAGCAGGTTTTCCCTGAAGCCTAAAAGGGGCTGGATGGCTCCGGGTTCGATTCTTCATCCTAGGAGCTGGTCTTAAGATTTGTTTCCCGGGCTCTCCAATGAGATGTGTGGTCACCACATCCTGATATCAACAGTGGACCCTGACCTTGCTTTAAGATCAGAGGCCGATCCCATGTCAGGTTCAGCCCGACATCAAAACAAAGACGCACACCCTGTACACTGAACCAGTGCACTTGCATCTTAAGGGCACTTGGGAAAATCTATGCTTTTGCCTTTGGCTTCTTGGAATCCTTCTTAGCAGTCGGGTTCGCTTTCTTGATGCAACTTCGGATAGGCTCAGCCAGCTTCTTGAAATTCAAGAGCGCTTTCAATAAGGCCTCATGATGAATTGGAGCACATGTACATGCTGTATCGACTAGCAATTAAAAAGGCAGTCATGTATTAAGCTTGAGCAGAAGAACCTCGGTGGGAGCCTGCAAATCATCCTTCTTTTTGCCCAATGCGATAGCTACCGTGGCTTTGGCTTCCTTGAGGTCCTGCAGGGCGGGCGCGAGGTCGTCCATCATCGCATCCATCATCTTCTGGCCCCTGGGCTACTAGGGTTTTATTTCGGGACTTATAGGTTTCGGGTTTGGTGTTTTCGTGTTTGGGGTGTTCTGGGGCTTGATAGGCGACTGAATGCCCTGGGGAGAGAGAGAGAGAGAGAGAGAGAGAGAGAGAAACAGAGAAAAAGAGAGAGAGAGAGAGGGGCTTATAGACCTAGGTTTATGGGTTTTGTGGTTTCTGGGTTTATGGCTGAGTGCAGGGGCTCAGGTTTCGGGTTTGGGGTTGTCGGGGTTATAATATATAGGATTATATAAGTATTATAATTTACGATTTTGGGGTTTTGGCTGAGTCTTGGGGTTCAGGCTTCGGGTTTGGGGTTTTCGGGTTTCGGTGTTCACACTCGAACAATCCGGGGTTTAGGGATTTCGTGGTTTGGGGGTTTAGGGCTGAGTTTAGGGTTTTAGGTTTCGGGTTTGGGGTTTTCGTGTCTAAGGATCTATGGAGGCTTAAGGCTTTTGTGGTTTGGGGGTTCAGGGCTCAGTGCCCTGCAGAGATTATCAGGACTGTAATTCGTGATCACATCTGATATTGTGTCGTTCGAACATATAATAAGACAAGTGGCACCCCCGCTTCCAAGAGGGCTGTCTCGAAACCTTCCTGCTCGGTGAGCTCGTTGTTGGCTTTGTTGTTGGCCTGCAATACTCGATATCTTCCTAGTATGGTTTGGCTGCAGGGTTGAGGATTCACGAGCCTGCTGGGCTTGCTGCTTCCATGTTTTTTCTTTCTTTTCTTTCTTCTCTTTCTTCTCTTTCTTCTCTTTACCGCTGCAGGTGTGGCCAGCATGCTGCTCGTCGAGCAGCTTTTCCCTCAGCTGGGCTGGGGGTATTAAACGGTTTTATTAGGTCAATTAAGGGTTTCAGGATATGGATCGGCCGTAGATGTAGACTTTCGGTTATTAGGGGTGCTAGGGGATAAGGACCCAGACCCTAGGAGGTTCGCCCGGTATATATGTGCACCACATGGGTGATTAGAAGCCCCAAAACCCTAAGACCCTGAACCCCAAAGCCCAAAACCCTCAGGAGACTCTATTATAAGCTTTTGGGTGCCGGTTCCCAGCGTGCATGTTTTGAGACTCTGATGATGCTTGTTCGGGTTTCAACCTCTAATAATATGCTATGAATACCTCCTAAACGCAGCTTTGGGGCATTGCATCAAACATGTCCTCTTCCTCGACTTGGGCTGTGCACTCAAACTCCGCTGAAGTCTCGAACTTCTTGCGCTTGTAGTCTGCAGTCCGGGCATAGTTCTTGTACCGATACATGTCCTGAGCTGCTATTGGGTTGTATTATTTTTGTACTATTTGGGGTCGGTCCGGAGTGTTGTGCAGTTCTCGCTTTGGGTATATAATTTGCTGGGCTTCAGGGTATTCAGGACATTTGGGGTGTCGGGGTTTAGGGTTTAGGGCTTCCCCTTAAGAACCCTATAGTTATTTAGGCCCTATATAATATACACACCACAAAACTAATCTTGGAGTAACATCACAAGAAATGCGAATGTCTCCCAAGTGACTTCTCTCAAAGGGAAGTCAGGATGCCTCGGGTACTCGAAAACATCTATATGGGGCAACGTATGGCTTATGTAAGACAGCTAGGACCCAAGAATACAATGTTTCGAAATATTGGTCCAGTTGGCTTTCTGATAAACCGTCCAGTGGCATTGGGATCCTCCTTCTTGTGGCGGGCCACTAGGTCGTCAGCTAGGTCCTGTCCTAATTCGTCCACCATACGCCGATAGCTCCAGAACTCGTACATGTCTTCGGATTCCTCCGAGTTTGAGCTCCTGCGTGAACATGCGCATACAGCTATATTAGTGTGCATAGGATAGGACATAACATAACACCGGCAAGTGTACCGTACATCGAATGCATGGCCTCATTCGCAGAATCAGGGTCGAGGATTCCCATGCACCCTTACACCCCAGGAAGTGCAAGTAGAGGGCGTGCATCTTTTGGTGACCTGGGCTGGTATCACTTCAGCAGGCGTCCGCAAGCGCATCCCCGTTCACGCGGCATGCGAAAGCGACACGGTCTCGACTACACGTCGACCGATCACGGAGCTTCTGGAAGACCTGCTGCACGCGTAAAAACGCGACTGCGGAGACGCTTGGAACATCAGGCTAAGCTCGGCAGGCGGATCGGGACAGCCTATATACTCGATTGACAATCGAGCTGTCTTAGCTTTCAAGCACTGCAACGCCGACTGGGCTCTATCCAGGAAATGTGCTGGACATCTTCATGCCAATTATTGCCAGTGTGGCTCTGCTTCGCATGAAACATGCCCTCAGTCACAAGCCGGTTCGCCCCGAACCTGTAAATTCTAATGCCCTTTCAAACCCGAAACTCTTAACCGCCCCCCGAAACCCTAAGCAACAACTCCGGACGCCCCTTAGGCCCAAAACCTTGAATCCCTGAACCCTATAAACCCTAAACCCCGAAACCCTAAGCAACATCTCTATTAACTCTAACCCCCGGCCCGCCCCCCCCCCAATGTGTTCAAGCTGCTGCCCTCCGCTTCCAGGCGTTTCTCCAAAACTTCCGGTGCCACTTCGCCGTCTAGGCCAGTGCGTGTTTAGGAATGAGCAATATGGGTTTAATAATAGATCTGGATTATATAGGCCTTCTATATATAATTAGGGTATATTTGCAACTTCAAGCTTGAAGCTTTGGGTGCCAATAAGGGTCGTCTTTGAAATCCATATAAGTATCTATATAGTTATATGTTTATAAAGTTCAATAGAGTAGCTAGGGTTTCATGTTATACCAAAATTAATAAGCAAGTTCCTTGCAATTGAGGGCTTAGAATGTGCACGTACGGTTTAGGCATTAACAGAATGGTATATGTGCATGGTATATTGCAGAAAAGTCACTCCTGATATTCCGGTAGAACCTCATGTACAGCGCATGTGGCTTGAGAAGCCGCCCACGCTTGTCACAGCGCCACTCATCTCCGGGACCACCCATCTTCTGCTCCTCCTTGACTTGGACTGGCTTCGTCGTTGCCGGGTCCTGCTGGTCTGTGTTCTTCGGGTCCTGCTGGTCTGTCTCCATCGGGATCGGCGCCTGCTGCTGCTCCGGTGTGACTGTGTTCTTCGGCTCGGCCTGCTGGTGGATCTTCGCGGGGATCGGCGCCTGCTGCTGCTCCGGTGTGACTGTGTTCTTGGGCTCGGCCTGCTGGTGGATCTTCGGGGGGATCGGCGCCTGCTGCTGCTCCGGTGTGACTGTGTTCTTGGGCTTGGCCTGCTGGTGGATCTTCGGGGGGATCGGCGCCTGCTGCTCCGGGGTGACTGTGTTCTTCGGCTCGGCCTGCTGGTGGATCTTCGGGGGGATCGGCGCCTGGTGCTCCGGTGTGACTGTGTTCTTCGGCTCGGCCTGCTGGTGGATCTTCGGGGGGATCGGCGCCTGCTGCTCCGCTGTGACTGTCTTCGTTGGCTCCTCCCGGTCCATCTTCGGGCGGCTCGGCTCTTGATCTTGGAGCGGGCATGCAGCAGGTCGGGACTGATCCAACCAAGACGTCTGCTGCCTGTTCAAGGCTGTATAGACCCGGTCCTGCTCGTTCTCATCCTTGCGGTCCGGCTCATGCGTAGTGTACGGTGCCAAATCCACCGATGGTCCACGCTGCAGCTCTTCGTGCCAATCCTCGTGGCTCCAGGACTTCCGTGACCAGGATCGGCCCCAAGGGCTAGTCCAGGAGTCCCAGCGGTCCCAGCTCCAATCGGTCCATGACTGAGAGCTCCAGCCCTCATGATGATCGTCCCACGACGAGCTCCAAGCATGCTTGCCTTGGTCATCCACCTGCTCGGCTTTGTCGTCCTCAGTGTCGATCTTCTCGTACTCTGCTTCCAAGAGCTCCTGGAGCTTGTTTGACAAATCATCATGTGCATCCAGCTGGGTCTCAATCTGGGTGTCACCTGCGACGCATGTAAAGAAAAACATAGTACACTGCTAGAGTAGAATTTAATACTAGTAGTACAGTAGTACTCCTAGTACTACTATATAACTAGCTAGCATATATATATATATGTATAGTAGTACTACTAGTACTAGTACTAGTACTAGTACTAGTACTAGTACTAGTACTAGTACTAGTACTAGTACTAGTACTAGTATTAGTACTAGTACTAGTACTAGTATTAGTACTAATACTAGTTCTAATACTAGTACTAGTACTAGCACTAGTACTAGTACTAGTACTACTACTACTACTACTACTACTACTACTACTACTACTACTACTAATAATAATATACCACTAGTACGAGTACTATACTAGTACTAGCCTACTAGTCTTACTACTACTAGTAGTCGTAGTAGCAGTACTAGTAGTACTATAGGATTGAATTTAGTAGTAGTAGTAGTAGTAGTAGTAGTAGTAGTAGTACTACTACTACTACTACTACTGTACTACTAAGCTATACTACTAGTACTACTACTATATACTTATTATATACCTGTGTATATATGTTTAACGAAATCGCTGGATCGGCAAAACACCCGGAGCCGCTGAAGCCCAAAGCCCAAAACCGTAGTACCTTATTATAGTCCCTATATATTATTAAACCCTTGCAAAGCCCCAAAACCCTAGACCCTTAAAGCCTCCGGACTTCGAATTCAGGGAAATGCATTTATCGGCAAGAGCCAAGGATTCCCCTTAATAAACCCAAAACCCTAGGCCCCAGGTGAGAGATTGAGTGTCGGGCTTCAGTGCCTGTTCGGACATGATGGTTAGGGTTTATAAGCTGGTGTGGCTCCAAGGATGTATATGTTCAACATAAGTAAGAAGTACTAGTTGTATTGAAATTACACTCCACGACCAAGCCTTCCAGGCCTTTGGCAGGGGTTGCAAAGAGCTGCTTAGCCGGTGTGGTTTGCGAAGGCTCCCGCTTTGGGATCGTAGGAGGCTCCGGGCTTGGCATCGGTTGGTCCAGGCAGGTCTCGGTCTCTGCATCTGGCTCCTCCGTGACCTTGTTCAGCGGTGTCGCCGGTGGCTTCCTGGGTGCTAGAATGCTAGAATATACTTGCCCCATATATATATAGGATTATGTATATAACTTATATACGTAAGTATTTTGTTAATAATATACATATTATAATATATATCTAGCATAATGTATAACTCCTGGGTCTATACGGGTCTCGAGCAGGGCATCACATTGAAAGAATCGAGTGTAATCCTGGGCCCCTGTACATAATGTAGACTTCGGAAAACCTGCAACACATGGTATATTCTATTGGCACCTAGGGTTTTCAGCGCCCCCTCCTAATAAGAATCGGTGCAGGCATGTGTCAAGAAAGTGCTGGCTTCTGCCACTTCCTCGGTCTTGCTCTTCTTCTGGTAAGGGCTGCGGATGGGTGTCCTGGGATCATGCGTTATTGCAGGTGCCGGCATGTATACTGATAAATTTTCGAAGAGTTATGTATATTGCACTGCGACTGAGCATCGATTTAGCTGTGCCCGGTGTGGGTGGCATCGACATCTTCTCATCCGGGGTCTCTGCTGGTGCTTGTTCTGCTTCGGGGGTCTTTGCAGGAGTGGCCGGGGCAGCTTTCGGGGCAGCTGGCTTCGGTTTCCCCTTCACTTTAGCCAGCAAAGCAGCTGCCGCAGCCATGTCCTGCGACACGTAGTTCGCGCGCTTTCCCATCCTGTGCAAGGTTATTTTCGCTTAGGGAGCCCCACAAGGAATTCACGGAACCATTCCTTATTTCACGGTTCCAAGCCTTATTTCACGGTTCCAAGCCTTATTTCACGGTTCCAGCCCGAATTTCACGGACGCCTTTTCTAGGCCCCAAAGCACTTGAACGCGGAAATACCCGAAGCGCAAGCCCCAAACACCGACATTTACGCAATATGGCCGCATGCCTTAGCTATTTGAACCGCTCATGCGCAAATCTGCAATCGAGAGGTCTAGTGACTCGGCACAAATGCCCGGATAACTGGGTTTCACCTACACATTGGGCATACACGTTGATATTATGTGACTGTTACCACGGATTGGCACAGTCAATCTACATTATAGATATAAAATTATAACATGTATGTATGTACATGTAAACATAAATAGCAAATGTATCTATGTAGCTATATAACTACATGTTCCATGTATACATATATGTGGCAAAATATCTAGATCTTGACATAGTATATATACATGCATACATATATATATATATATATATACATACATACATACATACATACAAACATGTTACTTACGTGTGTGTATAAATGTATACATACATATGTGTACATATATATATATATATATATAATATTGTATATATATATATATACAGATAAGTAGGTAGATGCAACACATATATAGGTAGCTATAGTTTATGTATTATTAAACCCATGCATTGCCTACCCAGGCTTTGGTAATGGTCCAACGAGCAAGCACAGTGTGCGGAGCCAGGAATTACTCCGGGGTTCGTGGCTTTTAATCTTAATTAGGGTTTAGGTTTCAAGGGTGGTTCTAGGGTTAAGGGTTCTCTAGCAGGATTATAATTGTAGGGTGCATGCTTGGTTGTTAAATTGATCTAGAGGCTGATCTCGATTCCCAGTTGGGGTCCTCCTTGGGCTTGTGGGGTCATTATAGGGTCTCTATATAATTAGGGTAGAGTCGGGGTAGGTATAAATTAAATGTGAGTCCGAGTCGTCCTTTTCCTGAACAGCAGATTGCGGCACCACATGCCATAGTTTGTGCTTTGCATAGTCGTGCACGATCTTGCACGAGGGGATGAAGTCTGGGTGCTTTCCATCCCATAATATTCCTAGTCACATCAGATTAATTACGGCGGCCCAGGTAGATATGCATGACGTCGGAAAGATTGGCAGTGATATAGTGTCATTTCAATCTCGGTGCGAAGTAGCTAGCATCGGACTGTACGTAGGTGTTACAAAACACCCGGGCCCCGTCTAAGAGTTGTCTGCATACAGCAGCCATTCACATGCCTCGGAAATATCCCGAATTACATTGCCCTCGAATGATCTCCTTTTCAGAGTCTTCGGTCTAGCATAGGCTTCGGGGGATAGGCTTGGTGTACCATCCACGTAGCGAAATCTTCGTTATATGGGAAGACTAGATCAGCCATGCATTCCAATCCCAAGGACAGCCTCGGGGCTGTGGGTTTAGGATTTCTTCTAAAGCATTTCTAGCAGTCAGGCTTCTGATTGGAGGGTGTCAAAGACAACACAGCTACAGGAAGGCATGTTACATTATTATACATATATATATATAGCTAGGCATGATATCTAGAGCTAGGGTTTGTAGTGCTTCGAAGTTGGCGAGCTCGCCCGAAAGATGGAGATCGATTTCCGAGAGGGGATGAAGACCGACTGTGGTGTGAGTGCACTGGCCACGAAACGGCTGTGGGCGGACACGATAGACATCCAGTCACTAGCCCAACTGCTTTCGCAGAGGCTCCCCCAACTACTTTCGCAGACGACACCCTAGTACCCTCGATTTCGAAGGGGTGCGCCACTGTCTGCGGCGGAACTTCAAATCCTTGGAGTCACTACTGGTCTGCACTGCAAAGACGACTTCTGTGGAGACCCATGATCGGGACATCTCTTGGGGCTATATGCCAATTCTATTCTAAGCCCTGCACCCTAAACCCATATACCCCAATGCTGCCTTACACCGACATCCAAACTCACTCCGTGTGGGCTGAACATAATATTTTCATAATACTATCGATCAGCAAGCTATTAGACCCTAAGAGTCCCGAAACCCAACATCGCCAAGCAAAACCCTAGACTCTCAAATCGAAATCGTCAGATCAGCAAGACCCTGACAATCCCCAAATGAACACTAAAATTAAAGCCTCAAGACCCTATCGACCCTTGAGTCTTATCTTTGCGAGGTGTATTCAGATCGCATCATCGGCAAGAGCAAAGGATTTCCAAAATTCAGTACCCGAAAACCCAGACCCTTAAAGCCTTATCGTTTGGGACTTATAAGCCCAGTCGTACATCACTCCAGGAGTCCCTAATATAAATCCCTAATATAACCACATCACCCTACTGCCAGCCCCTAAACCCAAAACCCCAAAACCCTAGACCCTTAAAGCCTCCGGGTTGAGGGAAATCGTTTCAAGTTTCATCGGCAAAACCAATAGAGTCCCTAAACCCAAAATACACCTAGATCCTTAAAGCCTTGTCTTTAGGTGGAAGTGCGAATGAATCATCTGATCGGCAAGATCTAGGCCGAAGAGCCCCCATTAAGCCAAAAACCCAGGTGCTACACCCTCAAACCAATAACCGGCGAGATCACCCCAGGATTAGAATCCCAAAATCCCAAAGCCCTAGTGGTATTTCATCAATCCCATAAACCGCCGAAACCCTGGACCACTAAAGCCTTATCAGGGAACTTCAGCGAATTCATCTGAAAGGCAACAGTCGAGGAGCCTCTAGGATCTATATTATATAACCAAAACCCTACCACCCAGACCCTTGAGGCCATATCTGTAAATCGTATCCCTATTCATAAAGCCTTAAACCCAGACCGTCGCAGCCTTACTTAATATCCTGTCGTGGTTCAGCGGAATCATCTGGGCAGAACTGTAAAGCTGACATAGAAGTTTCCATATATATTACGTGTACTGTATACGTAGTTACTGAACCAGCCACAATTCCCGCCTTGACTCGAAGGTCTGCTTCTCGAGAAGCAGGATGGCCAACGATGGTTCGGAAGGCCAGGCAAAAGTCGTGATCTCGAGCAAGCAGCAATATGTCGAGAGTCTTCCATAGGGGCTACATAGGGCTGATGCACATCATGAGGTGCATGATACAACGAACGATCACTGAACATATTGTGACATGCACATTTCAGCGCCGGGGAACATCAGGGCGAGCGCTAAAACTAATTGGTTGCCATCTTGTGTGCAACTGTGACATCAGATTGACCTAGGGGTTAGGGTTAGGGTTTAGGAGGCCTAGGGTTTAGGGTTCAGGGTTCGGGGTTTAAGGCTTAGGGCTTATGGCTTTTAAGGGGTATATAGGGTTTGGGGCTTCGGGGCTTACGCTGATTTTTGGGTACCTGTAGACTCCAAAACCCCTGAATAATGGAATCCTATATCTAGATATAGATATATATATATATATCTAGATGGTGTATATATTTATACATATATATCTATTATGTGTATATATACAATAAATACACACATTCCTTAATCAGTGGTTTTGGAGTCTCTAGCATAGGTATAGGTGAGGGTTTAGGCCTTAAAAGTGGGCTGCGCAAGCATCCTCGTAGCACTCGATTCTACACAGACTCACACAAGATGGACGAGCAGGCCAAGGCGAGGTCAGTATTTCCTGGGTTTTTTTGTTTCTAATTCGGGCTTACGGAACCCTCGAGCTAAGATCTAGGACTCCATAGCTATAGACCCAGGAAAGAAAGGACCGGCTTTGCATGCTGTTGCACGAGCTTGAAGTAGATGGGCCAGGCAGGCTAGACATTCCTATGCCAGGGGTAGGGTTTCGGCTGTAGTGGATCCGGATCTAACCCATCACCCCAAGAAACATTCGGTGACACAGACACGATCCGCCGTCAGAGGCACTTTGAAGTACTTCCTTACCCATTTCCCTTGTCGTTCAGCATCAAGCAAAAATTCGACAACCGGCTCCTTGCATCGGCAGACAAGCATGCACAACAATGTAATGTCACCTCCAAGCTTCATTGTCTGCACCACACTTAAATGCAAGTTAGGCTCAAGCAAAGCATCCTGCCAAAGCAGCTTCTGCTCCTCGTAATTTGGGTGCAGAGGTGTCTGTAGCGTTTTAAATAATATGTTTCTGGGGATGATCCCGAAAAGCATAAAACACTTGCCCAAAGCCCCAATTCGAAATTGTTAGTGCTATAATAGGTACATGTATAGCTAAGTATAGCAGTTCACACTTTACCGGAATTGTCAAGTGTTCTTCTAGGGATATTGGAGGATGGCACGAGGGTTTTGACCGTACAGACGACCTGACCCAAAACCCCTAGCATAAACTAAGGGACTCAGCAGAAAAAGCTCAACAAGGTCTATTGATCTAGCATGCTTGAATAATGAGGCAGCTGTATAGTAGCTCTGGCTATGGTGGGTATCGGGTCCTAGAACATGATCAGCGACATATATATATATATATATATATATATATATATATATATAGCAGGGTCCATGCATATCTAGACACGACGGGCCCGGTTCTAATTGCATATGTAATAAACTGATGAGGTCTTCAGAACCCAAGCTTCGGTCCTAAAGTCCCGGCCTCCCCCAGCTCCGGAACGTATTCGTTCGCCAGGCTGTTGTCGGGCATCGACGGTCTGGTGTTCTCCTGAGATCTTAGAGTGTGGGGGTCGTTATGGGGTGGTTTATAGTAGAAGCCAGAAAGTTGGAACATCAGACTATATAAATAAGGGATTCTAGCACTAATCCTCCTAAAGCCATGTTCCAACTTTCTGGCTTCTACTATATTAGGTTTTGCAGTTCAATGCCTGAGGGCCTTGGGGTGGGTTTGCTTAGTGGCCGGGGCGGTTTAGGATTTTTAAGGTTTTGTGGTTTCGCGCTCAGACACGGGACACTCGCCTCGGTGTTGTGTTTTGGGGGTGTAGCCTGTATAGGCTTTAAGGTTTAGGGTTTAGTATGGGACGAA